TACAAAAGCTGAAATCAGGTGAGAGAAATCCCTTCCCAGCAGTGTGAACCATCCACTTCATTCTTGATGCCAGGTATCCGCTCCGAGTGCCACAAAAGAGGACTTTTTTTTTTGGTACTCACAGCATAAGCGTTCGGTTATAATGGAGATCAATGGCACGTTGGATGCAGAGCACGCTGAGTACGCGTAAGGGATTTATTTCTTAATGTATGGTCTCTGTGTACACATACACAGAACGCGTGCAAGAACCCACTTAGAAAACTTACTACCATCCGTCTTTCTTTTGTCGCTTCGGGGTGCACTTCAACTCGGGACGGATAAGCTGTCTTTATGTTCCTCCTTCAGCTTTGTGAAATGCTGCATATGTAGAATGTTTAGTGTGTACATGAAAAAGTACAATGTACATGTACATGTAGCTTATGGTAATATTGCACCTTCTGAAACGAGCCCTTTACTTTTACGAAGTGATTTTCAATTATTTTGTTATTTTTGTTATTATTTTATTTAGGAAAATGTGACCAAATGAAACAATCCACACATTGATCGGTTTATCATATAACCAAATATGAATAGCTCATCATGAAGTATGAAATTTGACCTGTAAATCTGTAAGAGAAACCCCGGTCGACTAGTGAAACAATGTTTTCCATTTAAAAACAAGGAAAACAATCAGAAATGACCATTTTTCTGTACTGATGCAGTATGGTTTAAAAAATACAATGCAGATGGAAGGTTTCATAAAAAAAAGTGAGCTAGAGTGCTTAAATGTTCATGTTCTACGTCTAATCCACTGGTAATAAAATAAAAACGAAGCTGACAGCATTAAGGAACTTCAGTGCACATATAAAGTGATTTCTCATTTCAAGTTTTCTAAACATTACAAGCGACAAACATTCAACACTGCCTTCAGAACAATCACAACTAAAGCTCAAAGCTCTACCAATAAAATTCCAAAATGCAGCTGCTCCGTTGTATATTTGTCTTTTGCTGAAGGAAAAAAATAACAGTAGGATTTCATGTCACCTCGCTGGATTGCAGATTATTGAAATTACAGAATTGAACATTTTTTAAAGTTTTAAAGTTGGAAATTAACAAAAAAACGATGAGAAGAGTTACATGTACATAAAGACTGCAACAACCTGCATTGTCTTGAATCTTTGTTTTTGAACACATTTGTGCAATATGCCCTCATAAAAAAGGCTAAAATGGACCAAAACCAAGCATTCCATTTCCCCAGTCTTTATGTACAGTGTAATCTGTGTCCAGTGCAAAGAAAGCACAGCATTCTCAAGGAACCCTATATTTTGCCTCTCTGTCCACTCAAGTTCAATCATTCTGGTGGAGTGGCCACACTACACAAACAAGCTCAGCTCCATCAGCTCACTGGATTGAAGAAGGTTTATCAGTTTACACTGTAAATTCAATTGACCTTTAATTATAAGGCATTTGAAGACCAGGAGTGAAGTAGATAAAATGGTCAGGTTCATGGGAGAATGTTATTTTTGTGCATGCAAGCCTGTAAATGTAATTGACTTCTAACGTGCACTGTACAAGTCCACCTTCAGCACGCTCACCAGAATCTTGATTACGCTGATTTAGTGGTACATGTACATACATCATACAGCTAAGGAAAAGCATCTGGGAAAACAAGCTACCCGTAGGTGATTTAGGGCTACAGAGGGATCCACGAAAGCACTAAGTTTGTTTACGGCTTTTTGTGGGGGGGGGTTGTTTTATAAAAGCTGTTGTACTAGGACATGTAGAGTCATTTGCAAAAGTTTAAGACCACCTGGAATTATGTTGGTATTTCTGTCACCGGGCCAGCATGACACTGTCTCATTGCATGATTAAAACCAAAAAACCTTTTAATTTGGTCTGCGGTGATTTGTCTAGATAAAGAGGGTGCTGAGGAATGCA